ATGGAATAGCAGTCCTGAACCAGAACTAGATTTGACCCACTGGAACCTTGCTGAAATTAGTGAAAAAGACAGGCTACAGGGAATATGATGTATTTATGCACAAAGCCAGAATCATTTGTGGCTGAAAATTGAGATTAATTACCATTGATTGCAGGTTTTAGTAGCATGGATTTTATATGTTTATTGCAAGTCTCTTCAGGCATATTCTGCTTCTTTAATAGCCGCCTGCGAATGTATGTCTTCAGCCTCTGATCATTAAAAGATGTGAAGACTGATTGTTTCAGAGCTTGGTAATTGGAAAGATAGGTCACCGGTTTGGCTGCTATTCTCTAACAGCTCCAATAAATTCTGTGGCGCACCTTCTTTATGTAACGTGATTTCACTCCCCAATTTTCTTTTCTTTGCTTGTACAATGCAGAGCAGAGATTTCACAAAGAAAAGGCATAGAGATTCTCTGTAGGATACTCTGGATTTCTTTCCATCAGGCTGTTTAAGAAAAATACTTACAGTCACTTAAAATGCTACCTCTGAAAGAAAATGTTCAAGATAAAACTTAATTAATTCAGTCTTTAATTATGAATAACTACTACTATACCTACAGAGGTCTGGCATGGAAGAATCCAAGTTTAACATTATTTTTATTATATCTGACAGTTAAGCATATTCAATTTTTTTCTTAAAGTAGCTACAGAAATATTTAGTCTACTCTGGCCTGCTTGTTGGCCTTAGGGAATCTAGCAAACAGAGTAGATATACCTTTTATCATAGAGAGTCCACTGAAGTTAGAACTAGATACTGCCTCCAGATTTCCTGCCCGCTGCTCTGACAGCTTTTCCTACACAGTTCTCCAGAACCGTCCTATAGTGCTCAGAAGTCGTTAGCCTTCTGCTCAAACTGACTTCACCAAGCTTTAGCTCTCTCATGTGGGAATGCCACATCTGACAGTGCAACAGAGTATCCTCCCACAGGCATATGAAGGGCTGAAGCTGCTGTCACCAAAGTCAGCAGTTCTCCAGTGATTACGCTGGACCCTGGAACAGATTCCAGGAGTGACTCTTGGTATGAAAAAAAAAAAAAAAGACGATTTTCCAGAGATAGGATCCAGGCTGAAGCTATCTGTATGCAGTGATTGTTCCTGTAATATTGCTAAATGACTCAGGAACTGGTAATAAAATGTCACTTTTCACCTTCATGTCCCCACTGAGAACCCACAAGATCATGTTCAGGTTTACTGACAGTCCTCACCACCCTGACATTATTGAACGGCTTCTGTGAAAGGAACAGAGTGACTCCAGTTAGCACCCTGTGCACTTCTCTGGAAGCACTTCTGTAGAATATTAACCACTCATAATAAATGAATATGCAAACAAGAACACAAGTCAAATAGTCATTATTCAAATAGTAATTACTCAGGGGGAGTTGTATGTGCCCAGTCCTCCTAAATAATGTGTGTTTCTTATTTCAAGGCTCACATCAGGAGCTGACAAAATAAAGAGAACAAGGATGGGGTAGGAAGAGGAGTGCTGCAACTATCATGAGCACACTGAGGTGGTTTCCTGAAAGATCTGTGCAAGATTAGAAGCACGCAGCAGGGCTTACAAATCACCATAAAACAGACAAGAAACGCAGAACTCGTTTGGAGCGGTGACTGTCAAAATGTTCCAGGCTGCACTACGGTACCTATTTCCAGGGAGGTCTATCGTCACCTTCATAATCTCAAAGTATGGGAATCTGTTTGAAAAGGTAATTTGACTGAATTGCAGAAGATGCAGTCTAATGGACCTGCGATTGGAGGGACATATGCGGGAGAAGGCAGGGCTGCAGAGGGGGAACAAGAAGATCCGGGAGGGCTGGTAGAGAAGCAATATCCTGAACAGCTGCATAATTTACCAATACTCGGACAAGGGAAGGAGTCTGTTGCTTAGGCCTGGGAGAGACTCTCTGTCATCCTGAGGGAATGTTACGAAGCTTCCCCATATTTTGTGGCACAGAAAAGACCAGGTGAAACAGCAATACCTTCTCCCATGCATGCCGGGCACTTGGTGGTTTCTACAAGGATAGGGAAGCAGTTTTATCATCAAAATTTGCAAACTTATCCAACAGCAAACACACCTGTTCTGATGAATTCTGAGTGGATCTTTTTATTTGGCTCTAACAACCCGTTTCACTAACACCCTACTGCACACCAGCCTGTACAAAAGTGTCCATTTTTTTTTTCTGTCTCACTCTCAAGATCCCCTGCTTGCAGTTCTGCAGCTTGGTAGTTCTTACTCATATGTGTGGTTATACTGTATCCAGTGACAAAAAACACAAATGAGTGGGAGCAAGCTTACATAGGAAGAGTCTAATGCTACCTCTTAACTTGTATCCATCATAGATATTTGTATCCATGGCAAGCGGGTGGTAAATTTTCCTCTTATGCCAGTTCTCTGCCCTGGGTGCAAACAAGACACAGGTGAAAGCTGAAAGGCATTGGGGAGTCAGAACCTCCATGTCCAGAACATCTGCACGGATGTGCCTTTAAGCAACCCTTCTGTCTGGGATCAACCACCAAAATTTGTGCATGAAGCCTATAGAGACAGCCAGTGATGTTTTACAGTTAACTGTCCACTTTTCTTCTGCTTTTACCTCCACAAGGAGATAAATTGCTCACAAGTCTTTGTGATAGCCTTTCAAAAGCATGGGCTTCCTGGGTGAGCATTGTAGCCTCTTTTTTGTGCTAGCTTGATAGTGGACATTAATAAAATGATCAGCCACCTGTGAATCAAAAAGGAAAGGTAAAGATACATGCCTGGCAAATGATCTGGGTTACTGCTTCTCAGTCACAGTGGGAGCAGTCCTCCCAGCCCACAGCATGGGTATGTGCAAGGAATTTCTGATGAACCTTCATATGAACAACTAACAGGCACTCAAGCAGTTTCCAGTCAATAGCATTTAAGATTTTCAGAGCCGACTGCAAAAGTCTATTGTTCACATGCAGGATCTGTCTCCCCACCCTGTCATCAGAAAAGCACAAACCACAACAGTGGCATGTTTATCTTAACAGGGTGTTAAGCTCTACCAACTGAGTCACAGCCACTGGTTTAAGATTAGAAATAGGTTTACCCCAGTTATTCTGAAATATCCAAAATGCAGGGTGGTGAACATGTAAGTTCACAGCGCTCATGCAACAGTTTTAAGAAGGTAAATTGTGAATAGGCTGAATCTGAGCCAAATGAGAGGGCTTTTATAAAAGAATAAATGCAAGACAATTACAGTGGAGAAGCAGGTGACTGTTCACGGGTAACTGTTAGCCCGGAGCTGTTAGCCTCCCTAGGCGTCCTCTGCAGAGATATCTGCTCTTCCAGAGGGCAGGGTCCTTGGGGGGACAGCTCCAAGCAGGAGCTTAACTTCAAAATGCTTGTATCCCTCCCTAGGCTAGAATTAGCGTCTGTGAACACCCTCACAGATGTGTCCAGGATTTGAAAGCTGACTGTAGTAACATCTATAATAAGCCCAACACTTTGAGGAACTGTTTCTCTGTCTCTTAAAAGTTTATGGGTGACCTTGGCTGGTATCACATCATCCCATCCCAAATCAACTCCTGCCTTTATTGTAGAAACAACATAGGTTATTTGGACAGCAGGGTCCAACAGAGCAGACAAGTATTCTGCAAGGGAAGGCTGCATAGTCCTACAGTCAAGCTTTGGCCTGCACCTTCTCCACTCTCGGTCAGTTTCGACCCCTCTTCTACCATTAGCTGGCCACAGCACAGAAGGCAAGACATTTCTCCTCCTTGAAGGATGCATAGTGGAGTTGCAAAAGGGTCTAGCGAGATATTACGAACAATATGGGAGTGGGGAGAGAGAGGGCCCTTCCTGCCAGCAAGACTAAAAGCAATGTAATAAACTGTGAGCTGGGAACGCATCTAGGGATTTTCCAGTGGTTCCTCTAAGAAACAGAGAGTCTATTGGCCTTCGGGAGAGCAGTGGAGGAGGGAAAAGCAGAGACACAAAGGCAGGGTGATGACCAAAGAGCAATAAAGCAGTAAGGGAGGATAGGCTACATCAAGGACAGAAATCAAGACTGAGAGAGACAGTTGGATGCCTCTGGAGAAAGAGAGAGGACATCATCAGGTAGGATTCAAACAGAAATAGCATATTAATGTCTTTTGCAGCCATGCACGTAGATGGGTCTTGGGAGAACAGATAAAAGAACAGTATCTACGGATACATTGCAAGGTGGAAAAGGAGCAGAGTTTGAAAAGAAAGAGAGGAAAGACAGCCCATTTGGAGATGTGAGCTGAAGTGCTCGAGTAGGGGGAGATTTTAAGACCTTTAGAGGAGCACAGGAGGAACTCGTACTGCTGGGGCCTTTACTGAATGAATAGTAGTTATTGACACCACAAAAATCACTGTTTTCCTCTGACTTTGTGGGCAGAATGAGTCCACTGACTGGCAACTCCCCTCAGGTCCATCTCCCAGGAGAAGACAGCTTTTACCTCTTGATTTATTCAGCTCAGTATTATGAATCTTACCTCTCTGGAGTCCTGACCCTCTCTTGACATTTAATAGTCTGTATTTTCTAAGACCATCAACCACAGGCAGCTGCAACCCAGGCAGCACTCACCTGAGTGGTGCTGACGCAGCCTCACAAACACCAGAAGAAGCCAGAAAATATGTGACTCGGGCAGTACTGAGCACAGCCCTGAGGAAGTGGGTGAGCTTAACCCTGCTGAGGTAAACTCCCAAAATCAAGAACCCTCTGTCAGGAACGGCACAGCTTTGCAAGGCATGTATGTCACATTTAGCCATTCCTGCCTGAACTCCAAAATCAGCACAGCATCAAAGCTGTGGGAGCAGGGAAGAGCATAGCAACGTGGCCAGGCTTTCACAATAAGGAAGTGAACACTGGGTAGGCAGCTTGCACTAAGGAGTCCTGAATTTTAATCACCCTCTTTTCTTCTGAATGGAAATTCAGACATTGGAACACTGCAGGCGTTTCAGGACAGGCTAGTTCCCTGTGAGAGAAGGACTTTGGGAAAGAAAGAGTGGTCGCAGTAGAGTTAGACTTGCCTGGGAATCTCGAAGGAATCAGCCATGCTCTCCTACACCGGCTGGAAACTGTGAGAGATGTTTAGCATCTGAATTATTTAATGTTGCCTGATGATTCAGCTTTGTTTTACAGGTACTCCACTCTCTGGAGAAGTAATTTATTTCTTTAGGACACTCACACTGCTGCAGCCTATGAAGAGTGTCTTCTGTTTGACAGCCTCAGAAGGTGAGTGTATGGGTTGGTGGTAGATACGTTAAAGGAGGGTCTTGACCACCACACAGTAGGCTCTGGAAGAAAATTCAGGGCTCATCTGTTTAACAGAATGGATTCTTTAGGACTGTGCAGTCTCCTGGCTTTGCCTGTAGGGCTGCTTAGAGACAGAAGCCCACATTTAAGAGCTCCAGCACAAATTATTATGCTAAGGGCTTTGTAGTACCACTACAACTGCAGACAGTAGGCTCAGTCCTCATCTGTAGTGCCCTCACCCTGGAAAAAGGGCAGGAATATCTCTCCAAGTGGGAATACGCAAACTCTGTCACCACTCTCTCCTCATCTCATCCTCGTGTTTGGAGGTATCCATGAACAAGCACTTGTCCTCTGCAACTCCTGCTCAGTGGTCAGCTCCTTGGAGACAAGTGCCAGATAGGTCTAGCTGAGAACAGATCTTGCAACACTTGGCTATATTATGTGCAGGCCAAACCATTACCCAACTGGTGTGTACTCCTCCTTTCCACAGGCAGACTCAAGGAATCCTGGGCAAGACAGAGTAGCCTTTGGTGAGTAGTCTGAGTTTTGTTGTTTCTTGTTAAAATAACTGCCTAAACAATATATGCCTAAACAATATAGTTAACCAGTAAAGAGGGAGAAATTAAATGATAATGAACCACTCACAGACACACACACACACACACACACACAAATAACTTCTGGTTCTCTAATGTTTTAAGCAAAGCCTGCACCCAGTTACATTCACCTTGGAAATAAAAATAGTTGGCTGTAGGATGGAGTCATGAATTTAACTAGCCTCTTCCATCTCCCACTTTTGTGATCACCCAGAATTTGGTGACTATGCAAAAGCTAAGACCAAAATACAGTGTGCAGGTACTGAGGCTCACTTAATCTAAGTTAAACTGACAGAAAGAATGAAAGATGTGTCAAGGGTGATGCACAGCAGGCCTGCTGGAGACACTCGCTGCATGGTACCAAACGAAGAGCTCCTCAGCCTTATCAGATTTCCTCCGTAAAGATTCTGCACATTCCTAAGGAGAGGCTCATGACCAGGCAGTTGGATAACCCAGAGCTCTGGGAAAGGGTTGTAGAACAGGCCTAAATATCTTTGATCAGTCAAAAAAAGAAAAAAGCAAACAAAAAACGCCATCTCAAAAATGTTCTTTAGTGGTATGTTGCTGAAAGGAGGCAGCTGAGTTAGGAGTTAAGAATTCTTCCAGAACAGAAGTGCTGATCAGATAACCTATCCAACATGGCACTTTAAAAACAGTGTCAAGTCAGAGTTTTTTTAAAAAGCCTTCTTATCACCATTGCTAATGCCAACAAAGAGAATTAAAATAAAGCCTTTAAAATTGAGTATGCTTTGCACTATCCTTGGTGTTTGCATCTGCCTGAGCAGGTGATAACTATACTTTTGTTTGGAATAGATATTATTTGTATATTTTCTTAGTGGTTTTCATCCCCTTGATCTCAAACTCCTAGAATTTTGCAGACTATTTTTAAAGGATCCAGAAAAGAAACAAGCATGTTATCACCAGGCATAAATTTATTATGCAGGGTTACGCACTGGAAGTTTGCAGAGGTCCATAAACCTAAAAAGGTTGGAATTCACTAGGCCAAAGTACCACCGGTTTGCTTTATAAACCGTATAGAAGGTTACAAACACTGCAAAGCAGGAGTAGCACTGTGATCTAGTTGAAACTGTTTGTACACTGAGTGTAGTAGTCTCTAAAATAAAAAGCCAGTATTTCACTATCTAGACTTGCAATATAGAAGACCATTAACAGAAGAGAATTAAAAGATTATGTATTCTGTGCTAGTTCATGCAAGAAGATTAGAAGACAAAATAAGAAAATGAAAAGGCACATACTGGAATTTTCTCCAAAGCAGAAAAAAGCTGTGACCTCTTTAATGTATTTAATGAATTAATACATTAAAACTTCTGCCCCTCACCCCCGAAGATCCCTGTGGGAAGCAAAATTGTGCCATCTAGTGGGGTTTAGACCAAATCTCAATTGTATATTCCCACTAGCGACTGCAGACACACTACAGACCACGTCTACTTTATCATGTTTAGCTTATGGCATAGGTTTCTTGGCTCCCTAGTTCCAATCCCTCCTCTACTGCAAAAAGTATTTGCAGATGGTCTATTAGTCCTGCCCGGCTTAGTGGCAGACAGAATTTTGTGTGTTCAAAAACTCTGTCAGCACTTGTAGGTTGGTCAATATAGCACTGACCAAATAGGCAACGCAAATTCACAGGGGCAGGCTCTGAAACAGAAAAGCTGGGGCAAACACTAGAGGTTGGTGGCAGGGGGAAGTTTTTTACTCCGTAAACCGGGAAGCACTGGGAAGATAAAAAGGTAAAATACATCCTGCAGAAGTTTGGGGCTTTTTGGCAGGGGCAGGAGGACAAGGGATGAGAGCAGCTGCTTTTTTGTTTATCGACTAGACCCATATTTCTTCTTGGCTTCTGAGTTGATGGGAAAGATCAGGTAAATGATCTTCACACGTATGACTTGGTAATGCTGGAACAGCAAAGCCATAATAGGATTCCAAGATGGAAGAAAAATCTCCTATTTGCCAAGATGCCAGCAACCTTATTTTGATGTGCTGCATAGCTATAGAAATGGTGTATGCGGATTACACTTTAATATAAACAATCTAGTTTGCTAGCAGTGTTTTGCAAACATGGTTAAGCAATAAGCATAATATAGATTTTAGTACAATCTTTTAATCTTTGCCCTTTATTAATTAGTGTACCTTTATAGTGATAGGAAAGAGCCACATAATGCATGACTGCAGTGTTATAATTGGCTTAAGTACTGCAAGTGACTTATATGCCTAAATATCAAATACAAACCTATACAAAAGTCCTTTGAGAGCATTCATTATTGCCTCACAGTCACAACAGGTGAATGAGTAACACTCTTATAAGGAGTTTTCATTATCAGATAAAGCAAAGTTCATTGGCCAGTCCTCAAATAATTAACAACACTTTCCACTACGTATGCAGTGAGGAGTGACCTTTTCCAACAAAACATAAGCTGTTTATCTCCCTCTCTAAGCATCTCCTGGAATACTTGGATCAACTCTGTGCACTGACAGACCTTTTTATTGTATGAATCAACATGGAAAGGAATCTTAAGAATGTTTTGGTCATCTCTTTTGGATTTTTACTTCTCTTTACTGCTTACGGAGGGCTGCAGAGTTTACAGGTAAGTGGAGCATCTGCCTCTAGTTGGCAGGACAACTAGCCTGGAAAGGCATCAGGCCAGCTGGTGCTGTGAAATATGAAAGCCTTTCCATGGTTTCTGCAAGAAAGCCATGTACTTCTTCTTTTTTTTTTTTTTTTTAACGAGGTAAGTTAGGACATCAGCTTGGCAAAGGTTCATATCACTCACCCAGACTCCATAGCATCTACTACATATTTTATTCTAATAGTTTTCATATAGTTTGAATACTCATGCCGGACCGTTCTTTCCATCCACAAAAGCTATATGAATAAAAATTAAATTTCTGTGAGATTCTTCTCATGAGAAAATACTGCAAAATGGAAAACAAATTCCATTTCAGAAAAGGCTTCTTTGGAATGTTTCTAAATCTCTGTAGTTCTATTATTATTTTATAGCAATGTAAAATAATAAAAATGTATGTGAAATGAACTAAACAATGTACATATAAAATAATACAGTAACTCTTGATGTCATGATATAACAACAATCAAAATATTATTTTATAAAAAAGACAGCTGTCACATGTACTGACTTTAACATCTTAAAACCCAGTAGCAGAGATGAGTTTCTAAAATGACTTGAAGACTCAGGTAACTAACAGAGCTGGCTTGTTTAGCACGGCAAAAAAAAAAAAAGGTGACATTATTGATGTTTATGAAAGCTTCAGGGCAGAGAAACACAAGGAGGAACTTTCAGGCTAGAAGGCTGTGCTGGTCCAATAACAAACAAATGGATATAAGTTGTCCATGAGCAAGTTTAGACAGGATACTGAAAGGTGACCCTGATCATTTGGGTTTTAGACCAATTTTGCAACTGGTGTAAGACTCTGTATGCTTTAAAGATAGAGCTGGATAAGTTTATTAAAGCTTCTAATCTTTTTATAAAATGATACATTTGCCTGCAACGACAAGGGGTTGACCTCATTTCACAAGGAGGTCCCTTCCAGTCCTATACACCTGTTTTCTTTTCCTAGACCAGTTTCTGCTCACTGAAACTGTCAAATTCCAAGCTCAGGGCAATTCTGCAAAAACAGTCCCAAAACGGATAGACATGTTAGGAGCTGGGCAGACTAACAAGAGGGGAAATGTCAAATGCAAGAACCATGGGTCAATCACACCATCCGAAACTGTGAACCGTTCCAGGAACAGTCCTGTAACATAGCTTCCCTCACTGCAGCAGGAGGAAGTGGTGCAGATTCAGAAAATAACCCTCTCCTTTCTCCATTTTGTCTTGGTGGTTAAGGCGGACTTGTTGAGACACAATCAGAATTAAGTTATTTTACTTTATTGTAGCCTGAAAGAGAAACATTAAAAATACACATCATCTATTTCAACATCCTCCTCCCTGCCAAAGAACCTTGGTAAAAATTAAGCTAATCTTACGATTTTGGAGGCCTAGCTCCTAATTTTTAAAAGCTGTAGCTGACAAAAACATGTGCTTGATATCTGTGTCTGAAATAAGACCTCTACGATCAGGAAGATTCTCTGCGTGTCTACAAAACGGCTATTTCAATTCCAAAATATGTTGACACAAGCATTGCCTAATAGAGAAAATTACCTCCTCACACCACTGTCCCGATGCCTGCTTCCCGCTGCGGGAGCTGTGTGGCTGCTGATGTGGCTCTGCTCCACTGGACCATGACAAACAGCACGGAGCTCAGCAGAGTTCACTGCTGCTACTGGCAGCTGTGGTCTCCTCCAGGGCTCTCCAGTGTCACCTCCCAGCACCAGTTCCTCCTTCAAGAACCTTATAGGATCATGTTAGCTTTTATGAAACCAAACAGGAAAATGTTGATAAGAAGAATTTGGATGTTCTCCTTTTTACTTTCACATTATCAAGATAATATGAGAAATATTTTGAATATAAAAATACAAAATCACAGAATCACAGAATAATTGGGGCTGGAAGGGACCTCTGGAGACCGTCTGGTCCAAAACCCCTGCTCAGGCAGGGTCCGCTAGAGCACATTGTCCAGAACTATGTCCAGTCAGGTTTTGAATATCTCCAAGGATGGAGATGCCACAACTTCTCTAGGCATCCTGATCCAGTATTTAACCACCCTCACAGTAAAATGTTTTCTTGTGTTCAAGTGGGATTTCCTGCATTTCAGTTTGTGCCCGTTGCCTCTCATCCAGTCACTGGGCACCACTGAGAAGAGTCTGGATCCAGCTTCTTTATACCCTCCCATCAGGTATTTTGACACACTGCTCAGATCCTGCCTTCGCCTTCTTTTCTCCAGGCTGAAAAGTCCCAGCTGTCTCAGCCTCTTCTTGTGTGGCCCTTCACTGGACTTGCTCCAGTAAATCCATGTCTTTCTTGTACTGGGGAGCCCAGAATTGGCAGAGTACTCCAGATGTGGTTAGATCATGTTAGATCAATAAAATCTTATCCTCCCTTGTGAAAATATGTGTGATTCAACTACTTTCAACTACAAAGGGCTATTATGAGCATATTAGGTTTTTTGGACCTTGACCTCCAAGTTTAAAAGTGATCAGACCTGTTGTTAAAAGTAAAGAATCTTTCACTGCTGCAAAAGTCAGCCCTTGCAATATAGATCTAAGGAAAACCAAGAAAAGAGGTTATTCTTCACTCAGCTTGCTCTCAAAGAAAATTTCAAATTAATTGAATTAAATCATCTAAAATTTGACTTACCAGAACTTTGAATCTGAGCCCCAAATTCACAGTCCTCAGCTGGAACTGGATCAGATTTTCATAAATGGCCTATCCTTGTGAGGGAAACCATAAATCTGTAATCAGATTGTTTTGGGGAAAGAAGATAGTAATATCTATAACCAGCTCCAGTTTCTGTATCTCTTTCTGTCTGAAGCCAGTCACCATACACGATAGTATCATATGTCTGTGGTAAAGTCTGTGTGAACCATTCTTTTGTCTGTGCAGAGCAGTCTCCACTCAGAAGAAGGAATGGGTGTTGCTTCCCTAAGTGTTATCTATGCTGCTCTTATCTTCTCATCCATGTTCCTCCCTCCAATCCTCATCAAGAAGCTGGGCTGCAAGTGGACCATCGCAGGATCTATGTGCTGCTACATCACATTCTCCTTAGGCAACTTCTACGCTAGCTGGTACTACTGTTCAATTTCAATGCTTGAACTCTGTCCATTATGTTTGGACTAAATAACCATCAGGGTGAAGTTCTATTTCTACCCAATTCCTACTCTACTTCCATGTTGTGGATTTGAAAGTTGGATGCTACCCGAAAGGGGTCACCTGCAAGAAAAAGGGATAAATCCAGTACCAGGTAGAGCAGAGAGATGAAAAGACGCAAAGAGTCAGAATGAATGCATCCATCCATCCATCTACCTGAAGCTGCTTTTCAAATTTGTGTACGTAGCAGAGATTTCCCTTCAGGAAAGAAAAAGGAAAGAAAGAAAGAAAATCAAAAATTTCGTTTAAAATCCAAATGCCTTTTAAGACTATTTTGGAAAAGACAGAAGGCGAGGCTGTCTTTCAGGTAGTGCCTCTGGGAGCACAGGAGGAGGTGAGCTCCTGCCTTGCCCTTTCTGAGGTGAAAGGACAATTCAGTTCTGGTCTTCAGAGAGAGGGGGACATAATTCTGCAGAGGAAAGTTGTTGTGATCTGTGTCTTCTCAGGGGCAGGTGCAATCTAGTTCTCAATTACAAGGGGACAGGGCACATGAGCACAGACCTAGCCAGCCCTTGGACACAGCCGGGAGTGCTCTCAGACCCTAAGCTTCGCAAAGTTGGCTCATTGTTTCGTGTAGTAGATTTGTTGAATCACACAAAGGCTAAATGTATTTCTTTGATGTCCTTTTTGCCTCTGGGTCTTTGGGCAGATGATTGCTAGGCTAAGGGATGAAAACTATGCTAAATAAAGTGTTCTTTGGCAGGAACACACTGATCCCTACCTCTGTGATCCTGGGCTTAGGAGGAGCACCACTCTGGTCTGCCAAATGCACTTACCTCACCATTGCTGGCCATTCATATGCTGAGAAAGCAGGAAAAATTGGAAAAGACATTATCAACCAATATTTTGGGATCTTCTTTCTGATATTTCAGTCCTCTGGAGTCTGGGGAAATCTTATCTCATCGCTGATATTTGGCCAATCTTCCAACAAAGGTAAAATATATTTAGATATCATGGCACTTCTTTCTACTATATATACGAACTAGCTCTGGATGGTTAAGAGTAGATCTCTGTAGCTGAGCTAGTGACCCTCCCTCCCCTTCATAGTCAGTGGAAACAGGCGCTCCTGATGTGACTTAGCTCATCTGAAGGAAGATGTCTGAAATAGATCAGCTATACTGCTCTCTGAAAGTGTCTGTTTTCTATCAACTCTGCACCAGCTATAAAGAGAATTCAGACAACTAGCTCAAAAATGGATGTCTGTTGAATTCCTTTTGAATTCCTCCCCTGTGTTGTAAAGCATAGATAGGCTCCTGGCAGAGGCAGTCTTTCAGATCTGACTTTTATTCAAAGTGGATTAAAACTAAAGGCAAAACACTCAGCAGCTATCTCGGGAAGTTTGTACTATTTAATTAACTTTCTGTTTAAGGTTAGTCAAACTGATGTTGGTGCTTACTGGAATTTGGTCAGTTCTGCTTACAGAATTGTCAAGAAGAAATAGAACGAGCTATTGGCAGGAGCCTACATGCCAAGATTCTTCTGTTGTATTTCAGGCTCAGACAGCAGATGCTAATGTAGCTTGAAGAAATCACTCAACAACACTGCCATAATTTCCCATGCTTGTAATTTTCATAAGCTTTAAAAGAGCTGTAGTGAAAATAAATTAATACTCGGACACCAACTTAGAGATTCAAAATGCTACGGTATTATTACTGCACTATCTTGCATGCATTCTTTATCCTATCAAAGTCAAAAGAGGACAGAAGCAGAAGAAGCAGCTTTCCACATATACTGCTACTATAAATAGCAAGAAGTTACCTCTCTCCCCGGTTCAGCTCAATATGTCCTCTGGGATGTATTCAGATAAGTATTAGATTAAACATAAATGTCAGGGTGTTGATATCAAGTTTTAAACCTTGAATCCTTGGGCTTATGGCAGGGTAGTTGTCATGATCCATGATATTCCCGAGGTGTGATACTTGTGAGGAATCAGGATTCCTTTAAACCCAAGCATCAATCGATGAAACACCATCAAAGCCTAATGCTGAAGGACAACATCAAGTGCAACAGAGCCATGCTGACCTAATAACTGAACTGTCCCCTGTCTCAAAAGGGACTAGCCTTTTTCATTTCCTCTTAAGGAAGAGGTAGCCAAGAC